GGAGGAATTTCTTCTCCGCTCGGTGTCGTATGGAAGGGACACGCTCCCTGTGTCTGCACGTTTCTTGAATCCGGTCCTTTTTTTTCCCTGAGGCTTTATTAATTGCTGGTTGCGGCAGCTAAATGTGACAGAGGTATCGGAGATAATGGAGCTCCTGCCTATAAAAATAGGTAACTGAGGAGAAAGACCCTTCAAAATGTGTATTTCTTCTGGGCAATAACCAGGGGAAACGCCTCACTAGGGCCTCCGTTAACTGTGAGGCATAGACTGAAAGAAGAGCTGAATCATAAGCTTCCTGCCTCCCCCCCCTTGTTACAAAAAGAAAGCAAAACATGACTATTGTTTTACTACTACTACAAATTAAATCAGTGGGAGCTTTCAGTTTGAATGTGCCATCACTGCTGTCGAGAGGAATACACCTCTCAACAGACAAACACGCCAAGCAGCAAAACGCGACTGGCAGCAGAGCTCAGATGGAGTAACACAAAACGTGTGTTGGTGCTGTATGGCGACAGCGAAACGAGTATTGCCATGAGGGAAAGAAACAGCTTGGAATAAACCGAACTGGGATTTGTGGTTCTTCAGGAAGCCATCTGACCAATAAAACAGTCACGGTTTTTGCCAGTAGCGTGTGATGGTTGTGTTGGACTGAATCCACCATCACAAAGGCAGCCTCAGACTACGCTGTATGTAACCTGCCTGCGTTTCCCTCTGAAGGCATTCCAGTCCAACGGAGCATTGCTCTGCAAAGGCAGACCTGCTAAATAACCAGGTACGCTGCTGCAGACTACAGCCCTTGTATTAATCCCCTGTTTTCTGTGGGCATGATTCACTTCCTACTGATAACCAGTACACAAGAAGGATGGTCTTTTCACAAAAAACTCTTGATTTCTTTGAAGGCTATCATAAGACATAAAGCAGTTACCACATTAATTACAAGCCAAGTTTATTGAAAACAAGGTAAAAATCACTGCACTTGACATCACAGCACTAGAGGTACGTTTTCCGTGGATATACGATACCAAGACTCTAGCCAGTAGAGCAATCACACAGCTCCCCCTGCCCCACAGGCAAGCCCCTTTCGTGTCTTAAATAAGCCCTGTTTTAAATGCTAGCTGTAGCCACTGATAATAAAGCAGCTTGCATCTGAAACAGCACGTTAGAAATCACTTATTAAGCACCAGCTTAATAATACTTGCTTACACAAATTATCTTTTTGCTCACTCTCCCTTTATCCCTCATTGACTAGTTTGTGGGGTTTTTTTCATTTCTTTTTTTTTTTTCTTCATAAGCACTTAATTCTTCCTTGGTACAAAATGTATCCAAAACAAAGGCAAAATACACCTTGTTGTGGAAATGTTGAATGTTGTTGCTACTTTGCCTCTTCACTGCCCAGGACCTGACAGACTCTTGTTCATGAACTGTCTCTTCACAAAGCAGATCCACCACTGCAGAAGGAAGTAAAAAGTCAGAAAATACGCAAAAGCAGTTTCCATGTGATAAACAAAACAGATTTCAAAGTATTCAACCTCTGACAAGTAACAAATGTTAAGGCTCCAGTTTTGCACATACAGGTTTCCACAGTGGTTTCCACTGGAATTTAGAACAGGAGGACCCAAATGGACACAATGAATTTATAATACAGGACTCTGAATTAAAGCAGAACATTCTACTTTCTATTATTTATTTTTTTTACTGTTTATTCCAATATATTTCTTCCAATACAATTATAAACAAGGGATGCATCAGAAAGCTATGACTTTGAAACTAAATTAGCCTAAATAATTTCAGTATTAAATGCAGTCACATTTGCACATGAAACATGCACAGTCGGGAGGTAATTCATGCATTGATTAGCTTTTTTTTTTTTAATCTGGATACGAGGCAAAATGGTCTACTTCAAAGAAGCTATCAAATCAGAACCGCCCAGGAAGATAAACAGCACTTCTGGTGCCTGTGAATTTCCATTTGAAAACCTAGCCAACAGCAGATGTGCAATACTTTGAAGAGCTAAACCAGACACCTCTTATTACTGCCCTGCTTTTTAAAGTAACCCAAATTGGCATTCGCTGTCTTACCACATTACAGATTAAATTTATTGATAACTTGCAGCCTGCTATTTCAGTAGCCTTGTAAAACCAGGGAAGCTTGCGCCAAAGTTACCCACGTCTGATCCCTCACCCCGTCATCTCACTGCTCTCCACACGTTTCTGAAAAACCACACCAAGCCTCTCACTAAATCTGTGATGATCACAGTAAACTCTTACCTTACTAGGCTTGTCACTTTGAGGATCAAATACTTTTTCGCAAAGGCGAAGACCAGTTTCTTGCCTCAGCTGCTGCAGGTAGGCCCTCATCACCTCTGAAACACAGCACAGGCAAAACCAGTGTAAACTGAGGCAGCACCAAGCCAAACTGAATTTAACAGGGAAGCATCAGAGATCACTGCTTAGAGCAGAAAGTGAGTTTTCACATCTGCAGGTACTTTTCAGCTGGCTGAGTTGGCTTGCTCAATTTACAGCCATAGTTGGCATTTTTACAATACTTATACCAGTAAAAAGGGTTTTCTTCTTGTTTTCTTCTCTCATTTACCTTTACTTATTATTGTGGGCTTCCTATTCTGCCAGTGCAGCGGTTGGCTTGGGCGCCATTACAGGGTTTAGCTAGTGATTATGTTGATGCAAAAGGCAGATTCAGAATCCTGTTAAACCAGGGGAGCCACTGAACTCCCAAGGTCAGAAAATCCAGCTTCTGCTGCCCTCAGCAGACAGAACTGCAGATTTAGAAGATTCTGTTTTAAAGGTAATTTTTCTAGTTGCAGTCACAAAAACGCAGCTGGTAAAGTATGAGCCCAAGGAAGCCTTCAGAGGTCCTGGATTAGCCTTACCTTCCTCCTGCTTGTTGGCAGGTTTGGCGTAAATGGCATTAAGCGGAAAGCCAGGCTCCCCAGGGATTGGGAAGTTAGTGATTCCTAGTGTGTACATTTCTTTCTCTCCTTGGCCTTTGGAGTTACACTGGAAGAACCAGGCGAACAATGGATTAATAGTTATAAACAAAAGCTGATGGAGCGCTAGACCCAAATATTTTACCCATCTCTAACAGATAAAAACTCATCAAGAGTAGCGATACGCCTCGTTGGAGATCCACAGCCTTAGAATATCTGTGGCTCTGACAACAGGGACTGGGGTGAACAGGATTATTTGTGCCACTAGGAGGAGAATGTCAGCAAACCCCCTCCCAAGTACAATCCCCAGAACAGACTCGGTTTCCCTCCTGCACAGAAATTCACTTTTCTTACCTTTTGCAGCTTTTTCAAGCACTCAGAGATGTAGAGGGTTACGTAGATCAGCGTTCTGTCAGCCTCGTTCTGCAAAACAAGAGCAAGCACAGAGCCCAGCCACTCTTAGATTAGGGGAGACTTTATGGAACTGATAAAAGTTTGAAACAGGAATGAGTTCAAGCCATTTTGGCCTACAATTTCCCCATGAGAGAGGGACTTGCAATACATGGCATTTACCCAACATTAAAAATTAAGTGGGAGGAAGGGTAGTTTTTGTATTTAATAGAATTATTTAACTGAAAATAAATTTATAGTCACAGCACCAACCCTCCAAGGAACTACTATATGCACAGTATCTCAAAAAATTACCTTAATTTCATAATTTTTGAAGAAAACATTAGCTTTGAAGTAGTAGATGGCTTCATCTATAATGTCTGTGTCCTTGGCTAACAAAAGAGAAATATAGAGTTAAACAGTGCACCATTATACTACATTTGCTCATAACTTTTACTCACCAAAATACACAAATAAGGATTATTGCAAAGGCAAAACCTTGGTATTTACAAAAAGCAGAAGACAGCACTATGTAACAGAAACCAGTCGTTGCCGTGTGAAACACCGGTCAGCTCAGACCATAGTATGTAAGCTTCCTACTCGAGCAGGAGCTTTAACTCACTTCTCCTCCTCCCCCTATGATTTCTCACTTCACGAACAGCAGCGATTCAGCAGTTCCCCACTTCTCTACCAGTTAGCTCACTCACCACGTAAAAGACTTCTCAGGACACAAATATATTTTTGGAGAAAGCATAACAACATCATACAAATATCATTATCCTCTTCAAAAAAAAAAAGCAGGGGTGGGGAGCAGAGCACATAGTGGCAAGATCACTTGTGACCTTCACCTGCTTTTGCTACCACCCAAGACCACTTAAATCCAGAAACATTTCCTATGTATTTCCTTTCTCAAACTGAACCACTGCAATACTGGGGAATATCATGGCTGGGAAGTGCTACTTCACGTGCTGACGGGGAAGCTGTACCAGGCTGCCTGTGGACCCTGCTGGGATGCCTGTAACTTCATGTCAATCTTTGAAGCCCCCCACCCTAAAGCGCTGCCTATCCTACTCCTCATCCTTCAGAGTAGCTGCGCGTCTTCAGCCACAGCCCCAAAGCCTAAGTTCTCTGTAGCTAAACTTCCACTTCCTCTGACAGCAGAGGGTTCACACCACCACGTCCTCCTCAAAACCTTCTGAAGAGCACAGAGGAAGCACGAGAATAGTAACTGTAGGCTTTAATTACTGAAACAACCGATTTAAGCACAGTGCGTATTTATCTGTGCATAATTATTTTCTGTGATTTACACAACTTAAGTATTTGAAAACTTTTTGTCTCCTCTATAAAGTGAAAAGCACTCCATTTCCAACCCGTGACTCCTCTTGTCACTCTTGCTAGGGCAGGCTTGGAGCAACCCGTGAGATGATGATAAGCTATATGCAGGCAGGTTTTCAGAGATTATTACAAACTTACTTTCCCGAGGCGCTGGGCCTTTGAACTGGCTTCTGATGGGTAACAGCGCCATATTCCCAATTAGCTTGGTATCGGAGTCCATTAAAGTTGAGTGGTAAGCCTGCAGACGGGGCAGGAGGGCTGGTTATTAATGTTTCTGAAAATAAGACATTCCTGTGGCCCATCATGTGTCCCCCACGTCTTCATCAAACTGGGGTCGGAACCTAGTTCATTGCACAAACAACCACTATTTCCTAATTAGGCCCAGAGATCAATGCCATTCTGGTGATGACCGTGAAAGCATCATCGCTGGCACCATTTACTGTCGTGGTGGTGGGAGACAGGATAAAATTGGTACGGCAGGTTGGCACGCGTTCCTTCATCCCCAGGCTGCTGACCCCCATTCTGCGCAGCACCAGGGGGTAACAGCCCTGCTCTCCTGCCTAAGTACAGGTATTGCGTCAGTCATTAAAAAAAGATTATATTTTATTTACATGTCTAGCTCATAGTAAATAAAGCCAGGCTTAACGCATACTCACACGCTCAAAAAAAAAAAACCTTTCTGTGCACTCTGAAACGGGTCAAAGTAAAAAAAAAAAAAAAAAAAATCTTTCCTCATATGACATTTTTCCTGGGAAACTGATTTCTAACAACTGATGAGTTTAGTTTTAGGCACTTTCCAAACAGGCCCTCCATGCCGTGCCAGGCCACTGGGAAGGCTTCCCCTCCTCACAGCCGAGGTTTTGCGGGGGGGGCAGGGGGACGCAACCGGGGGGGGACGACGCATCCCCTAGCAAAAAAGCAGTTTATTTCAACCTGAGGAAGAGGGTGCGAACAAAACCAGAGCAAAGCACAGCTTTTACCGCCCTCACTGGAGCCGGGGGCTGCCACCCTCCCAGCTGCGGGTGGATCCCTGTGCAGGAAGAAGAGGAAGAGGAGGGCGCTGGCCTTTCGGCAGCCTCCCAGAAACTGCAATTCCCCGCTCTCAGCGCCGCTCCCCGCAGCTGCAGCCCCTTTTTCTCCCTCACGCAG